GCTCAGCAATGCAGATAACCGCAGGTGAGCCCCACATGCATGGTCTTGCACACACACGCACTCACATATGCACACAATCACCCAGAGGCCTGCTCAGACACCTGTGCGCACCTACGTGTGTGGGTGCGCTCTGCCCCTATAAATCCCGCCTCCTTGCAGCGTTGGGACCAGGCGGTGGTCCTCCGCACCCGTTTCTGCACATCTGGCTCCAGGCTTGCTTAAGGCAGGACACCCACCTCAGCTGCCCACTGTCCCAAATTCCTCCGGAGTCAGCACCCCCTCCATGTGCTGCATGTGTTTGCTTTACCGGAACTCGGAAGCGTGAGCTCCTAGACCCGATAGGCCTTGCCTCCGGCACCTCACACACTCCCTTTGAAGATCCAATGAGGCCCTGACCCTTCTCTGAGCCTTGATGTGTGCTGTGACCCCCACACACCCGAATACCCCCTCCTTCAGGGGTGAGGGCCCACCTACTGATTCAAAGAAGCCTTTCCCAATCCTGGCCCAGCCCCGCCCAGTCCCGCCCCCCAGGTCCCCCCCACCGACCCACATCTGTGTGCACCTGCCTGGCCTCGCCCCATCCCGCCCCCCCAGAACCCCCCCTTCCCACATCTGTGTACACCTGCCCAGCCCCGCCCCCCAGGAGCACCAGGTCCCCATCTGTGTGCACCTGCCCGGCCCCGCCCAGTCCCACCCCCCAGGAGCCCCCCCCCCCCCGTCCCATATCTGTGTGCACCTGCTGGGCCCCGCCCAGCCCCGCTCCCCAGGGGCCTCGGGTCCCACATCTGTGTGCACCTGCCAGGCCCCGCCCACACAGGCAGCCCCGGAGAGGCAGAAACCGCCTTGCTCAGCGCCCCCGCTGTGCCTGCTGGGCGCCTCGTCCATGTGCCCCGAATGGATAATGAGCCAGAGTCCAATATGCAGAAAAGCCAGGCAGGCCGTGCCCGCAGGGAGGCTGCGTTTTCCAGCCAGCAAGGCATTTAGAGACAGACCCTTGTCATCCCCTCTCAGAGGAACCAGCAGGGAAGGAAGGAGGATTAAAATTTAATCCTATTGATCCCCAGAGGGGCAGTGAGTTCTGGCTGTTCCTGCCAGAGGCAGCTGAAGGGCTTCCTGCCCACCCAGCCTCCAGGCCCTGAGGCTCAGCCCACAGGGAGGGACCCCCTTCCATGCTGACCTCCACTGGGGCCAGGGACCAATCCCGGCACCCCAAAACCAGAGGACTCTTCCGGGGGGAAAAGTCTCCCCTCCCCTCTATCATTCCTCATTTATTCAAAAAATGTTTCCTGAATTCCTACTATGTGCTGTTCCAGGTGCTGGGGAAAGAGCTGGGAAATAGACACAAAAATCCCTGCCCTCCCAAAACTTCTGTTTACCATAAACAAAATAAACAATAAAATCTGAATCATGTCCAGTGGAGTGGGAACAAGGGCAAAAGAGAAAATTAAAGCCAGGAAAAGGAGAAACATCCCTTGAAGGTTTTCAGGATTAAATGGAGGGACAAAATGGGCCTTGCTGAAAAGGGGGGGTTGGGGCAAAGAGCTGAAAGAGCAAGTAAGAGAGCCCGGCGCGGGGGGGGGAGGAGTTCCAGGAAGAGGGCACGGCCAGTGCAAAGGCCCTAAGACAGGAAGAACAAAGGCTAGTGGGCCTGCAGCAGAGTGAGGGCATAAATGAAGGGACAAAAAGAGGAATTAGCGACAATGAGGAGCAAAGTTCTGGGATCAAAGGTGTGCCCATGTGTGGTGACTTTGGGTGTGATTATGTCTCCCTGACCAAAGAGTTAATGCAAGTGGGCCAGGATCACTGCTGTGCATCACTGCCTGGAACAGTGGTGGGCACAGAGCAAGTGTTCAGTCACAGGGCTGCTGAACGGATGAATACACAAATGAAGGAAGAGGAGGAGTATGATGCCCCCAGGGGACCTAACCTACTGGGCAGGGGCCTGCTCTCAGCTCCCCAGGAACCAGGGTTCCAGTCCTAACCTGCAGCTCACTAGCGATGAGGCCTCGGGGAAATTACTGGAGCTTCATGTAAGCTAACCCAGCCACTCCTACCCCACTAGGACAGCAGAACAGAACGAAATCCAAGAATGTGGGCGGAAGCCCCGGGCCTGAGGAGCGGGAGCAGACAGGGCAACGCCAGCACTCCAGGACCCCAGCGTGGGAACCGCCAGCCGGGGTGGGGGGCACAAGCTGCAAGTGCCTGCTAGTCCCAAGCTCCTCTTGGGAGAGCGCCCTCCCTCTATCTAGCCTTAGGGACAGGGCAGTGGTCAGTCTCCCAGGGCAGGGCTGAGTCCTAGCCCTGACCAATCAGTGTAGTCAGACCCCTCTCCCGACCCGGGTATGAGCTGAGAAACAGGCATGTGACGCCAGCTAGCCAGTAAGCACCAACCCTAGGACTGCGTCCTAAATGCCCCGGGAGGCGGGGGTGCCTGCAGCAGCACACGTTGTCCCGCGGGGACGGGGACCAGAGCTCCCAGACATCTTTGCCTGAGGGCCTGGATCACCATCAACTTTCAACAGCCTCGAGCAATTTAAGCGGAGTTTTTGTCTCTCGTATCCAAGAGTCTTGACCCACCGGACCCTTCCTGATACCGCACTTTACAGTTTACAGAGCCCCTCCAGCCACGATCTTGGGGATTTCAAGAACGTGGCCGGGACCCAAAGCGACCAAAGACCCGAGATGAAAATAAAAGGCCCAGCTCACCAGGTGGTGGCTGGCCTGGGCTCCAAGCCACCCTCCTCTGCCCACCTCCCTACTCACACAGCAGCTGCAGAAAACCTGGGCAGGAGGCGGCCATTTGGGCAGGGACACCATCCAGCAGGGGAGAACGAGAAGGGGTTATCTTAACTGCTCTGGTGGGGGGGGGGGGGTGCTGAGGCCAAGGAGCCAAAGACCAATGGCATCTGCAGCCACAGCTCCCTGGGGAGGACCCGGCACAGCCTGAAGGACACACCCCAGGGAAGGGCGGCCCAGGCTTCCCGAGGGAACACCGAAGGCCTGTGCCTTTGCGTCTGCCTGGCCCCGCAGGGCTCGAGGCTGCTGCCTGTGGGAGTGCTGGCCCCAGGAGGCTGAGCGCCTGACGAGGGCCAAGGGCAGCGTGGTGACATGCCGAGCAAAGCCACCAACTCCCCTCCACAGCTGCTGGAGAGAAGGGCACCTGCCCTGTCACCAAGGGTCAGAGGAGCTACCCCAGGGCGACACACGGGAGCCCTGCCCCAGTCCCCTCCACCACAGGCTCCTGGCGTCAGCTCGATCCTGGCTCCGGTCTCCAGCCACACGCTCACTTGCTCTGCAATCTCAGGCAGCTCACCTTCCCTCTCTTGGCCTTGATTTCTTCGTGAGGAAATGGAGAGACTACAACAGTACCTGTTTCATACAGGTCTTGAGAGAACTAGGTAGAATTATGCAAAACATAAACGATCACTAGAAAGGAAGAGTGACACCACCAGCATCACCAGCTGGCACTCGCTCAGTGCCAGGCGTTGGTCTAAGGGCTCTACGAGATGAACTCATTCAACTCCCATGCCCCAGGGAGGGGCCAGAATTACCATCACTATGCAGGGAGCCACAGGGAGGTGTAAGTACCTTGCCCGAGGTCACATAGCCAGGCCATGGTAAAGATCCCACATGAACCTAGGGGCATCCTGCTAAAGCACACGCGACCCCTCAGCGCCCCTTATTATCTTATGGCGGTGCCAGGGTACGGGAGGGCGACCGGCCCGGCAAGGCCCAGCACGAAGCTCTAGGCGCCCAGCAGGCTCAGTTTCACCCCGCAGCTGTTGCTGCCTCAATAGGCGGAAGCATAGCCAAGCCAACGGATCCGGAAGTTCCTTGCCTGGAGCTACAGCCACAGGCCCAAGCACAAGACCCCAGGCTCCAGAGCAGCCCCCCAGCCCCAGGACTCCCCCAGCCCCCACCCGCCCTGCGAACACCAATCCAGCACTGGGGCAGATCCTATAGCACAGACGGCTGGGAAAGATGGCCAGGACCCGGGGCGGGGGGGAGAGGGAGGGGAGATCCTACAGCACAGACAGCTGGGAACACCCGTCACTGTGTAACCTCAAGACAAGGAACGGTCCCTCTCTGGGCCTCAGTTTTGTCACCTGTAAACTACGGGAGACAACTCAAATTCATGGGCCCTGAGTTCGTGTGCAAAGAGTCAACTGTAAATCACAGGAGCTGAGCTCTCTGTGGCTCGACTGGGATGACAGTGAGTTCACTGCCTCACCAGACACCAGGTTCCACTTCGGGGCAGCTTGGGCCCCAGAGACACTCTGCTCCGGTACCCTAAGCCACTCCCCCAAGACTGAGCCCCCTCCAGTCGCCGAGTGCCCGCCCTCCACATCCCTAGGAGCCCCCGCAGCCTGCTACGGACCCTGTGCTCAAGCATGCCTTCCAGGCCCAAACGTCAGCAGAGGCCAGTGCTCATGTTCTAGGACGTGAGGGCCCACAGGTTCAAGTCGCAGGTCCACTGCTTTCTAGCTGTGTGACTTTGGATATGTCACTTAGCGTCTCTGAGCCTCAGTTTCTCCCTGTGTTAAACGGAAACAATTCCTGAATCTGCCTTCCCAGGGCTGCTACATAAAGAACCTGGCCCATCGCACGAAAGGAGCTGTTCAATTAACGTTTGCTCTTATTTTTAATAATAACAGCATTACTATCGTCTTCTCTGTTACAGGACCTTCTCTGTAACGAGTGCGCCACTGATTGCCCAGTCCTCCCCACCTCAACCCTCCAACTCACTGGCCCCCGAGGCCCTCCTCCAGCCTGCCGCCCACACTGTCACACGGGCTCCCACAGGCCGGCCACAGCCCACACCAGGCTGCCCGGCTCCCGTTCAGGCCCGCGTGCGGGGGCGGGGATTGCGGCAGACCCCATTTCTCAGTCGCAGGGAGAGAGCCAGCCCCTCAGGGCGACACCACACAGCACTCAGAGGCCAGCCCGGGTCGGGCAGGAGAAGAGGGAGTGGGGGCGCCCCGGGCAGGGGCAGGGCGTACCCGGTTTTCGTCGTAGATGATCTGCACCAGGCTGCGATGCTTTGACTCGGTGGGCGGCGGCGACACGGGCTTCTCGGGCTCCGGGGGCTTGGCGGCCTCCTCCTCCAGCTGTTGCTGTGGCAGAGGGGGGAGCGGGGTGGTGAGCGGCCGGGCAGGCGGGAGGCGGGGTGCAGCACCCCCATGCCGGGGGGGGGCGGCCCCGCAGCCCAGCGGGCGGCAGGCCTGGTGGACTCACACAGGAAGTCAGGCTGCTAACCATTTCCTCTGAGTCACCGGGGGACTCCGGGCCCTGGCGGGGCCCCCAGCTCAGCAGGGAAGGGCCCACTCCAGGCTCTCGGCCATGCGGCCGGCCTTCCCAGGTTCAAATCCCACTTAGCGGACTTACGAGCCAGGCGAGCACAAGCAGGCAGCTTTGAAACCCTGATGTGCTACAGTTTCCTTCTCTGTAAAATGGGGCTTATCGGCAGGCATCCCTGGCAGGTCACCGCAGGTGCGGGCACGGAAGGGGGCCCGCTAAAAGCCAGCAGCCCTCCTCCACAATCATCCCTGCAAGTACCACGGTCCCCAGGAGAGGCCATGAAGACTCTGGAGCCAGGCCGTGCAGACTGGAACCCTGTTTCTACTTTACTATCTAAGTTGTGACTGCCTAGAGCTTCCCTCTCCTCCCATCAAATAGGGAAAATTAAACCTCCACCCCAGAGAGCTGGTATGAGGGTGCAATGTGCCAGGGCAGGCAATGCACCCAGCACCTAACAGGCAGCTTCTCACCCTCATCTGCCTGTGGCCTTTGCACCACACCCTCCTCCTCCCAACACTGAAGGACACCCCCTCGTGCCAGTCTATACCAAAACAGAAAAGGGAAGACCAGAGAGCCTATGACATTGGCCCAGGGTCACACAGAAGACCAAAGTCCAGGTGTGTACAATCTGAGAGCATCCTGAGTGAGAACAGACACCGCTCTCTGCTCACTACGCAAGACCTGCCCACGGTCACTGACTGTGGAGCAAAGCAGTATGAATTCAAGAAGGCAGCGAAGAGAAAAGCAGTGCAGAAAGAGCCAGAAAATCCAGTCCTGGCCTCTGCCGGCACCAAGGCCTGGCTGGTGGAGCCAAGCTGCCTCAGCCCCACAGTGACCCCTGGCAGCAGCTTCCAGAAGGACAGTCAGCATCTGGCAGAACATGGAAATCTCCCTGCAAAAAGTGCAAAAACAAAACAAAACAAACAAACAAAAAAATAGAAAACAACGAAGCAAAGAAGTGGAAGAGGCACACAGCCAGAAAGGGTGGGCAGAAAAGAGATCCTCTCTGGTTTGGTTCATGAAGCTGATCCTCCCTGAGACACCAATGAGAAATACCACCAGAGACCCTGGCGATGCCGAATTCTACCCAGGGCAAACCTCACTCCAAAACCACCAGCTATGTGGCCTGGGGCAAGTCATTCAACCTCTCTGACCCTCGGCGTCTTCCTCAGAGAAAGCAGCAGAAGGCTTTTCTGAGGATCAAAGGAGGAGATGCATAAAAAGTGCTGCTACACAGCCTGATGAACCCGGGCTATCAAAGGCAAATCAAAGCCACAATGAAATACCACTTCTGCCCACCAGGATGGCGTAAACATGAACAGAAACACAGAGAAAAATAAGTGTTGGTGAGGACGTAAAAAAACAGGGACCTTTGGGCACTGGTAGCCAGAATGGAAAAGGGGGCAGGTGCTATGGAAGACAGACTGGCGGCTCCTCAAAGTGTGACACGTGGGATGAGCAGGCGACCCAGCAATCCCGCTCCCAGGTACAGAGCGGCGAGAACTGATGACAGGGCCTCACACAGAAACGTGGACACAAAGGGTCACGGCAGCTCCGTCTGCAACAGCCGAGAGGTACAAACAACCCTCATGTCCATGAACACGTGACCGGACACGCAGAATGTGGTCCATCCACACAGTGGACACGATTTCACCTTCGAAAGGAACGAAAGGGCGCCTGGCTGGCTCGGTCGGTAGAACACGCGACACCATCTTGGAGTCATGACTTCAAGCCGCATGTTGCACTTGGAAATTATTTAAAAAAAAAAAAAAGGAAGGAAGGAAGGAAGGAAGCACAGGCGCCTGCTGTGTGTTACAGGATTCTGCTAATACGAAATACCCAGGGCAGGTAAATCCATACACAGAGACGCAGATTAGAGGCCGGCGGGAGACAGGAGGGTGGAGAATGACCACCAGTGGGTACAGGGTCTCCGTGAGGGGGGTGGGAACGTAAGCAGATGGGGGGTCCCCACACTGTGGATGTGCTACCCGACAGTGAATTGTTCACTTTAAAACGTTCTGTGAATTTCAGTTTAAAACTATAATGCCACCGTGGATTTGAAAAACAAACCAAAGCTGGCAAGGGCTGCTCTGAGCCGCCTGGCTCCCGGCCACAGCCACACACACATACGTGACATGACCTGAAGCCCATCCCAGAGCCAGGCCGGGGGGACCAAAGGTGCCTGTACTCTCCCCTGCCCGTGTAGATGCTGCCTCACCCCAACCAGGCCCCGGGCCTCTCTCGGGTATCCCAGATGCTTCTCAGGGTCAAGGCAATGTCACACTGGCCCAATCAACAGTTTCTAACGAGCACCTACTATGCGCCAGCACTGCCAGGAGCACACACTGAGCAGGGAGACAAGGACCCTGCTCAGCCTCAGGAGGAGCCCACAATGTAGCAAAGCGGGAAAGATCATCAAGAAGGGGGCTGGGCACAACAGGGGCGGCAAACTTCTCCAGAGAAGGCCGCGAGAGCACATGGTTCAGGCTCTGCCTGCCACACGGTGTCTGTCTTGACCGCTCAGCTCTGGCACTCTATCCTGAGAGCAGCCACTGACAACATGTGACTCTGTGCCAATAAAACTTTATTTACAAAAACAGGCAGCAAGCCAGACCTGGCTGGATTTGCTGGCCCCAGGAGAGAGGGTGGCTGGGGAGGAGGGCTCCTACAAAGGCCTCTGTGGAGATGTCTGAGCAGAGACCAGAAGACACCAAAGGGAGGCAGGAGAGGAGCCAGGAAAAGGCAGATCATCAATTAATTGTGTATCGATTAGTGTTGAAATTAAACTATAAAATTAATATCCCAGATCTTTGGGTTAACTTTCCTTGGGTCTCAACAGTCACCAGGAGGATCCGTTTTCACAACCCGTCCCCTCCTCACAACCCTGCGAACGTGCTATCACGTCTGTGCCCATTTCACAGAAAGGAAACCGAGGCTGCGGGAGGCGACTATTAGGAGGCAGAGCTGGGAGGCCACGCCCATTCCGTGTCCAGAGCCAATGAAGGGGCGGGTCTTTGCCGCCACGTTGTGAATGAGGAAAGTGAAGCACAGGGCGCTAAGTGCCTGCCCCGCATCGCTGGGAAGCGGTACAAAGCAGATCAGAACGCGCAGCCTGGCGGTGATCCCTACCCCCCACCCCCATCCGCACCCCTCACCCCCGCCCCAGTCCCCCACCGCGCACCCCCGCACCGGCACCCCCACCCCCGAGCTGGCTGGTACAGCAGCTGCCTGAGGCTTATTCAAGTGCAGGTTTTGTTTCATTGAAATTACACTGAGCTAACGGTGCAGCTCCTCAACCGCACCTGCACACGTCGGGCACACGCGTCACGCAGGCCAGCGCCTACCTTTGCGGGCACTGCGGCCCCAGAACATTCCCACCGTCGCGGAGAGTCCTGCGGGCCGCAGCGCGCCACACAAACCGCGCTCTCGCCCCGGGAACAGAAGGGCCGGAAGACGCGGCGGCCCGTGCGCAGGCCCACACGCGCGCTCCCGGCCCGTCCCCGGCCGGTCCCCGGCGTTCTCAGGCGCCACTGTCCCGCCCGCCCACCCGCACCTGCTTCTTCTTCAGCTTGGAGATCTGCTGCTCCACCATGGTGATCTCGCGGTCCACCCGGTCCATGTTCTGGATCAGCTCCTCCTTGGAGAGCCGCGGGGGGACGAGCTCCAGCTCGGGGTCGGCGTGCGGCGGGCTCGGGGGGGACACGGGCTCCAGCTTGCCTGCCAGGCTGCGGTCCTGTGGCGAGGGGACAGGAGGAGCATGCGGTCAGCACAAAGGGCACCCGGGCCGGTCTTCTGCCTCACTCCCCAGGTTCCCAGCCATAGCAACATCTGTCATGACGGTCCCCGCATCCCAGATGCAGGGTTGCTTACCAACCCCGACCGTGTCCTCTTCCCAGCCCGCCACCCACTCCGCGATGGTCAGATCCCTTATGTCCTCCTGGACAAGAGTTTCCACAACCCCCTCCGCCCACACGGGCCTCTCTCTTGCCCCACCTACCTGCCCCTGTCCTCCCACAGAACCAAGCTCCCCAAAAGTAAGTACTGAGACCCCCATGTCGGATCCCTGAAGGCCGGGCCACAGCGGACCCTCGGTGAACATTTATTCGCAATGCTCTGTCTGAACTGGCAGCATACAGAAAATTTACAGAGTGCAAGCCTGGTTTTGTACACCATCACCCCCACCCCCCCAACACACGAAAACCGCAGGACAAGTGGCAGAGGGATCAGAGTCGATCTCCACGGTGACGGCGGGGCGTTTCACTTTCTTACTTTCACTGACTAGTATTTTTCTGCTTTTCCTTCTTTGAGGGTTGCTCTTTGTGTACTAAAGCTGTTTTCAAACGGGTTAAACAAACAAGAGAATCCTTCGTTGGGCTATTTGACGCTTCGTTCCACCAGCTGAAGTTTATTGAGCACCCGGTGTGCTGGGAGCACTTGGGGGGGCGGGGGGAGTTTAAAAAACAAAACAAAACAAAACGCAGTCCTCGACTCCGGAGCACTCACTTGCATGGCCCCAGGTTCAAATCCCAGCCCACCCAGTACCCTCCCAGCCTTGTGACCACAGGCAGATCAAGTCTGCCTCTTGCCTCACTTTCCTCATCTGTACAATGGGACAATTCCCACCTGCCAGGCTGTCGTGAGGCCGGGACGGGCTAAGATGTACAAAGGGCTCGGCTCAAAGTCTGGCGCACTGCAAAGTGTCTCCTGTGCGCTGGCAGAGACAGTCCTGCCCTGAAACCTGGGCTCCGGGCCTGGCAGCACAGGCGGAACCCAGCCCGCGCCCCAAGCCAGCCTCAAGGCCAAGCCGGCAGCTGCTGGCAGAGGAGGCCCGGGAAGGAGCTCCAGGCTGCCGCCTCCCCGCCCCCACGGCAGCTGCACCGGAGGACAGAGGACACATTATTCCCTGAGACAACTGCAGCCCCAGGGACGGCCAAGTGCCCCCCATCTCGGGACCAGAAGGGGCCGTTCTATCGTACGTCCACGCCTCTCCCCCCGCAAGGCCCACATGGCCCCAGGTTCTGAGGCTGTCACTGGGTCTGCCTTCTGTCCCCGCTGTGCCCGTCTGAGACACGGGGAGAGCTGGCGTCAGGACTCCTAGGCCTTCCATACTCAGAACCTTCAGGGGAGATGCAGAAATGGCCACCTGCCCCCCACGCTGCTCAGGCCACCTCAGCAGGGAAATCCCAGAAATCAAAGCATGCGCCACTCCTCACTCAGCCCGTCCCAGTCCTCGGCTCAACTTACCCCCCAGACTCCCACAACAGCCTTCCAGGGAGCTGCTACTTTGTCCCCATTGCACAGATGAGGAAACTGAGAACTGGGAGATGCCTGCCTGGTACTGCTCTAAGCCAGCGGCCAGCACACTTTTCTGTAAAAGGCTAGGTGGAAAAATATTTCAGGTTCCCATTTTGGACTCTGCCCAATCACTCACCCATCACTGTACTGGGAAAGCAGCCACAGACAGACACAAACAAACTAACGTGGCTGTGTGCCAATTAAACTTTATTTACAAGGACAGGCAGAGCACTAAGTTTAGAACCTAGTAAGTTTACCAACCTCTGCTCTTAGCAATTCACAAGTCCTAACTCAGGTCATTGTCACAAACACCCTAAGAAGTAGGCATAGATAATGTTTTCGCCGTTTCCCAGATGAGGAAAATAGACCCAGCAAGCTTCCGTGGCAGGCCTGAGGTCACCGGCCACAACGCAACGGGACCCTGGCTCAGAAGGCACCAGAGGCCGAGGCTGGGCCTCAATCAGACTCTGTAGAGGTGGGCAGATCACAAGAGCAGGCTGCGGGGTGTCCCACAGCAGAAACAGGGCCCAGAGCACACATTTATTTACCCCGAGGAACGGCAAAAAGAGCAAGGTCTCTCCTTCACGCTCCAGGAGCCGTGAAATTCATGGCAACACTGTGTGATGAAAATTTCCCAAGAACAATACTCAGTGAGCTTGGGGACCTAACTACTCCCCAACAGGAGGCCCAAGCTGGTGGACATGGGTGCGAGGGTCCCTGGCCCCACACACAGCAAACCCGAATCAGCTCATGTGCTCCGGCACCTGCAGGCCTTTGCACAGGCCGTCCTCTCTGCCCACAGTGCCCACCTCCAGCTTCTGGGCCAGCTAAAACCAGATCTGCCTTCCCATGCCATCTCCCCCAGCCCCTGAGATCTGCCTCTTCCTCTATACAGCTAGGGCACTAGGCTGGTCTCTCCCTGCAGACTCCGTCCTCTCTCAGGTGACAGGGGAAGTGGCTCCCGGCACTGGCACCGAGTAGCATTACCCGCTGTAAGAAACACCTCTCCTCCCCTCTCTGATCTTCGCCAGGACCAAGAAGGAAAATAAACAGGGTCCCAGCCCAGGACGAAATCTCAAAAGCAGGATGAGCAAAAACGCGGCTTTCATCCCAAAGCTGGCAAAGTCAGTGCAAGGGTTAGATGACACAATGGGCCACTGCGGGGACTGCTGGAAAGTTGCTGGAAGCTTTTCCTTAAATTCTTGAGGAGTAAAAAGGGCCTTCTTCAATGAGTTCTTATTGCTTCAAGTTCAGGCTTAGCATTTACACTCACCAAAAATGCACAAGTAGGTCCATCGACAGCTGAACTGACAGATAAAACGTGGACCATCATGTAATGGAACACGACTCAGTCTTAAAGAGGAGCAGAGCCCTGATCCGTGTGCCACGACGTGGATGAACCTTAACAACATGGTGCGGAGTGAAAGAAGCCAGACACAAATGGCCACGTATTACATGACTCCATTTACAGGAAACGTCAACAGTCAGATCCAGAAAGACAGAGGGCAGACGGGTGGTCCTGGGAAGGAAGGAACGAATGGGGAGTGACTGCTAACGGGTGTGGGGTCTCCTTTCGGGGTGATGGGAATGTTCTGGGACTAGTAGAAGCAGTGGTTACCCAGCACTGTGAACGCACTAAAAGCCTCTGAATTGTTCACTTATGGTGGTGAATTTCAGATTATATAAATATCACCTTGCCTTAAACAGAAAAGGCACACCCACAGGGCAGAGCGTGCTTTCTCCTGGACAGAGCTTTCCAGGAGTGGGACCCAGGGAGCCTGGCTAGTGGACCTCCAGGTGCTTCTCCCAATGGCTGCAGGCCTGATTCACTGCAGCCCAAAGCCACAGGAGCAACGCAACAAACTCAGACCCCAGCCGGTCGCCAGGTGGCAGCTGGCACTGTTTTCCCCATCAGATGCCCCTGGCGTAAAATTAGGGCCACCACAGAAAAGAAAAAAACGCGTAATGCAAAATTAAAGACACAGGCAGCAAAAGGCCTGTGGCTGGGGAGGTGCCCCTTGTCCCAGCTTCAGGAAGGGGCAGGGGCGGCTGCAGGCACTCTGTGTCTACCCCTAGTCACAATCACAGCGGGCTCCAAGATAGGCAAGGACCCCACGCATAGGCAAGCTGTGGATAGGAAATGTGGAGATGGAGGAAAACCTTTCCCTTTCTGCTGGCCTTGAACATGGGAAGAGGAGGCCCGGAGTCTCAAACTGCCTCCTCGTTAACACAACAAGACTACAAGAAAAATGGCAGACCCAAGAGAGGGACGGAGATGGAGACCTGGTGACATCATGTCACCTGAATCAAGCCGTGCCTAAAGTCCGCCAACCCCGGATTTCAGTTATATGAGCCAGGACCCATGCTGAAGTTAGTCTGACACAGGTTTTCTGTCCCTTTCAGCCAACAGAGCCCCACCACACAAAGGGACTTTCAGAAGTGGTTCTGTGTGTGATGGCTCCAAAGTCCCCTAAAGCAAAGTCTGGTGAATTCCAAAGGAAGCCCGATACCACACAACTCCAGGGGCTCAAGGGCAGGGAAGCGTTAGAAAACAGAACATTTTTATATGAAAAAGGAACACAGCTGGCGGGGGGCAGGGCTGTAACAAAAACATCCCACTGAATTCCTGTCTCATGCGTCCAGCTGAATTCCACACGGCAGACGCAGAAAACATCTGAACGCTTTCAGAGTTGTGTTCCCTCCTGGCTCCTTCCCTTGCCCAACTCTGCCCAAACTTTCCAAGTGCTCTCAGCAGCCTGGAGCACTGACTGGAGTTTGTGCAGGCGGGTCCCCAGGACCGGGCCCGCCACTCCCCTGACCCCAGGGTCCAGGAAGAGAAGACTGACACACAGAGACAGACAGACACAGACCCAAAGATTAAGACTCACAGAGAGAGAGGGAGCCCCACCAGGGAGCTTCAAGAAGAGGGGTGAGCAGAGGCTCCCAGCCCCGGAGAGGCACGGAACCCTCTGGAGGCTCCCCACCACCATTCCAGCAAGCCAGGCTGGGCGGGCGGCCTGTTCTCTGGGCAGAACCGGACAGCAGCTCGGGGCACAGCCCACTGGGGGGCCTGGTCCCTAGGGAGGAAATCGAACCTCCCGGCACGGCCCTTGGCCTGACCACTGACCTGGCCCCATGCCCCTCCGCGAATGCCCCCCTCCCCTGTCTAAGACTCTCCTCGTGAAATAGGTTTTCCTATGACAAAACCTCCCTCCCAGGGAGGAGGACACAGACTCAAGTGCCCAGGCGGGGTGGGGGGCAGCCACCGGGAGGAGGGGGGCAGGCGGCCCGCTAGCAGGACCAGAGGGGAAGCCTGTGGCCGGGCAGCCTGGTGGGCAGGGATGGGCTGCCTGGCCGTCAGTGATGTGGGCGAGCGGCTCCTGCTCTCTCACCCTGGGGCCCGGGGCTCCTTTATAAAAGGAGATCACAGGTCACGTGAGTGGGGGCTGAGAAGACGCGATGGAACGACACTCGCCCGGCCCACTCCCTCAGCGCTAGCTGGCGTCATCACCACCACAGCAGCGCTCCTTCCGTGCCAGCCCCCTGCGCTGGCCAAAATCCCCACCATGCAGCCCCGTCCAGCACCAGGCAGAGAAGAGGACCCAGGAGGCCAAGTGGGCCCCTCCACGCCCTGGCCTGGCCCCCACCCCCACCAGTGCTGCGACACGATGAGTGCCGGCCTCACCCAGCAGCTGGGAGGCTGCTAACGGGCTAACGTGTGTCCCCGGGGCTGTGAAGAAGCCTAAAGGAAACACTCCGCGTGTGCGGGAGGGACATCCATCACTCAGCCGGCTGCAGTCCCTGCCCCATCCCAGGTAGTGACAGCAAAACAACCGCTCCGGGGGCAACTGGGTGACCTGAATGCACAGCCACCGGCTGTGATCCCTCCATTAGCGCCTCTGTCAGCCTCCGCTGTGCAAATCAGAGACCAGAGAGGCTTCCAGCCTCCACTGTCCTGAGGTTTACCGACAGCGGGCAGGCCTCCTGAACCGGCACCCCGTAGGCACTTAACCTGCGCACGTTCGCCCCCACCCTCTCAGCTCCACTTTCCACTTTAAGGAGGAGCAGAGGGAAAGAGGCCTCTAGGGCACAGGGGGCGCAGGCTGGGCGCATTCAGGTAGGAGCTGCCCCCCTCCAGCCAGGAAGTGGCCGGTAGAGCCACCCTGGGCCCAGGCGCCTCCCCTCCAGCTGAGCTCCCCATCCCCCCCACATGCCCACCATGCCCACGCCCTGCCCTGCACCCAGTGCAGCTGCAAAAGCACCCACATCCTCAGGAGCTCCCGGCTAGGCCCAGGCCTCACCTTGGACAGGTCCTCCGAGCCCCCGGGCTGGCCCGCAGCCAGCAGGGGCGAGGGCCGCAGCAGGGGGTCCGGCAGCAGCTCCAGGCGAGGGCGCTTGCTCTCAATGAACTCCATCTCTGACTTGCCCAGCTCGGGCAGGTACGAGTGGGACTCAGGTCGCAAGTGGAGCTCCTGGGACCTGCGGGAGGCAAAGACACAGGGCGTCGCATGTGCTGCCCTCCCGCCACACACCTCCCATGCACCACACACACCCCCTGGGACCCCAAGAGAGAGGGGCCCATCTGCCCCAGGGCACCCAGCCGGGCGAGACTCAATCCCAGCCTCGTCCTCCTGCGGGTCGCCGTTCCCTGTGTTAGCAGGAAGAGTGTGTCCTGGTGATTCCCACCCCCTCCCTGCCAAGAGCGGCCCACGGCCCACAGCACCAGCCCCGCCCGGAGCCGGCTACCAATGCAGCCTTGAGTCCCACCCCAGACCTACTGAGTCAGACTCTGCATTTGAACAAGAACCCCGGCTGATTCACGGGCACAGTCAGATCCGAAAAGCCTTGTGGGTCCAACACAGACAACACCACACATGCTGTCGTCTGCACCTCCCCCACCAGGCAGACACCGCTGGCTAAACCTGGCCTCGCGTGCTCCCCAACGCAGCCCGCTGCCTGGGGCACAGACGGGAGCTCAGCACTTCCAGCTGGCTCTCCTGAACCCGGCTCCCCACTCTGCAGAGGTCAAAACTGGGCCCAGAGAGGACATGGCCCTGCCTGAACACACACAGCAGGGCCAGGCCTCGCAGACTCCACCTCTACCTCCTGCTCCTGCTAGAATGCTTTTCTAGTGGATGCCCTCCCTGAGCTCTCCAAGAACCTGCTCACCTCCAGGCCTTTGCACGTGCTGTTCCCTCTGTCCGAATACCTTTACCAGGTCTCTGAACGGTCAGCTACATACTGGGCAAAAGTACCTTCCCTGAGAGGCCTTTCCTGGCCACCCAGCCAGAGATAATACCTTGCTCACCCCGTAGATAAGAAATGGGTCATCTGCCTCATTCTGGAATCATCTTGTGGGTCTCTGTGATGCACCTCCCCTGCTAGACTGGAGACTCCCTGGAGGCAGGGCCGCCTACCATCATGTGCCCACAGCCTAGAACAGGCCAGCACGTGCCATCTGAGGTCAGGGCTCTTAGCAACCGGCGCTGTTATCATCTCCACCATCTTGGGGCCCTGCTCTGACCTCGGCCCTCCCCTCACTGGGGTCCCCGTCCCGCTGCTGTGGCTCATTCCCTCCCACCTGGACTTAAGGAAAGCCAGGCAGGCCCGGCCACAGGCAGACACCAGAGGGCCTCGTCTGGGAGCCGAGGGAGAGGAAAGGACTTGGAGAGAAGGGGAGGAAGGGGGTCCCGTGTGCACCTGGGCAGGACACGTCCCTCTCACCAGCACCCCAGCCCCCTTGCTCCACATCTTGGCGGTCAGCCACCCCGCCCCCCGCCTGGGACCCCCCCCAGAGATCCCTGAAGGCCCGTAGTGGGAAGTCAGAGGGCCACGTGGTCTTCCCTGCTCATCCCCAACCTCGCCCCACGTCACAGCTGCACCAGGACAAGGGCAAGCACACGACACCCCCCTCCCCAAATTTAACACCAACCCTGCACGCTCCTGCCCCAGCACAGGCCTCCTCCCCCGGCCTGAGAACTGGGCCCGCGGCTCCCAGCTAGGCGGCGTGCAGGCCTCTCCTCACCTTTCGTTCCCAGGCTGAAACTCAGACAGCAGGGAGGGCCTTCTCCTCTGGGGCTGGAGGATGGAGCCGGGCGGCAGGTGAGAGCTGTAGTCACGGGGGTGGTGCTGGTACTCCAGCAGCCCGACGTCCTGCAGCGAGAGGCCGAGGAAGCCAGTGAGCCAAGGCGCCGCTCCGCACTCACGGGCCCAGGAGGCAGCACCAACGCTCCCTGCCCGGGGCTCACTCCCGTGAGGGGCCACGGCCACGGCCACACACGGTTCCGGACGCCCGGTGTGGCCAGTGGCCGGCTAACGCGTACCCTGTGCCGCGCCGCTGCAGCCCCTCAATCAGCGCCACCCCGGGGCTCCCCCGTCTTGTCTGTGAAAGGAAAACCCACCTACGTGTGTCACATACACAGGCCCCGACCAAAGTCAGGACAGATTTCAGACGGCAGCCTCCTTTACATGCCATCTACCACCCCCACCACCTGGGGGAAAACCAAACGCTAACAAATTAGACGTATCCTGATTATCAACTACACTCTGATCTGAGACACACTAAAAGGTTTTTTAAAAAAGGCTTAAAAACAAGTCTTTCAAAAGAGAAAACAAGGCCAGCTTCACACTGTACCGATGCAAATCGATTAGCTCTGTCTGCCTGGAACACTCAGTTACACTGTGTGTGGCAATCAATTAGTGATGTCTGACACAGGTACGGCTAAGCAAGAGTGGCCCCTCGCATGCTTTATTTTCTTCTTGGCACCTTCCTTAAGTCTGAGTTTTCCATTAAAAAAAAAAAAAAAACCTAGTCATTCTTCTCGTTCTTCTGTTGTCTGGCTTTTTTGTTAGGCAGGTATTTCTGCAAAGACAGTCAGAAGGTATCGGGCAGGTGTGCTGGGAGTGTGCGTTTCAGACCCTCCAAAGCAAGCACGTAAGACGCTGAGATGCTAAAGGCTAAAGGTGGGTAAATGGAATGAACGGAGCCCCATCGACGTCAGAGGCTGCACACGCTAAGAAGCCCAGTGTGGGAAGAAGAGCTGCAAGGCCTGGGGCTGGGGGAACTCCCTGTCACTCAGACCCTCTGAGCCTCAGTGTCCTCATCTTTGAAATGGGTGCTGGAGCAGATGGACGGAGGTCTCCGTGCTTCCTACCCCTAGCCCTCCTTTAACTCTCAAAGATGCCCCTCAAGATGACAGACAGCTTCCGGAAGGCAGAGAAAGGCACGGCCCCCCCCCACGCTCTGTGATGTCCAGCACAATGCCCCCGGTGCTCGCGAATGGAGGGGCAGGAAGGAGGCAGGAGAAAGACCTAGAGGGAGGGGCAGAGGCCTGGGGACAGCGCTGGCAAGGCTGGCACACGTGCGGAGGTGTGAGGAGGAAGCCGCGGGGACGCTCTCTACCCGCCTCTCTGCACGAAAGCAAAACGAGCAAAGCAGAGAGACAGGCAGCCCGCTGCCTCAGGAGACAGACAATCCAACGCCTCGGCGAGACCGCGCCGCGACTGCCAACTGAGGCAGGAAGAGGCAGCAGCACACGGGGCCCTCAGCAGGGGTGGGGGCGGAGAGGCCCCTCAACGAACTTTCCGGCCTCAGTTTCTCTGTTTAGGAGCCAAGCGGGATGCGCTCATCAGCAAAGCCCCTCCCAGGAGCGTCTCGGGGGTCCATTCGTGCCGCATCCCCGCTACACTCCACGCCAGGATCTGAGGCGGGTCTCCAGGGCTGAGCCAGGGACCCCCAAGGGCATCGGGAGGCTCCACAGGAAGGCAAGAATCGGGGAGACCCCGAGAAACGGACCCAGGGTGAGGCTCACTGCGGTCACAGGAGATTGAACACAGCCCACACTGAGGCTAGAAGCCTCCCAGCCCATCTCCGAGCCCAAGAACTCTATGTGCTGCAACAATGTGATAATAATACCCAAAGTTCATAAACTGCCGGTGTGTGTCTGCCACTGAACGCTTTAAACATTTTAATTAATTCAATTCCTTACAGCAACACCACGTGGCGGGTCTCACACACAGTCCCACGCAAACACGAGAATTCAGGCACAGAGAAGGTAAGTGACTGGCCTAGGTCACACAGCAAGGAAGGGAACTTCCGAGAGGCAGGACTGAGGCCAGGCTGGCTTCCTGTTGAGGGACGGTCAGGGGCAGATTGACAGGTGCTGAATCTACCCCCCAAATGGGGACAGCAACGAAGCACACTTGGGGAGAAGGGGCCTGCCCTGCCCTTGCCACACACTCGCAGAGCGCCGCGCGGAAAACCAGGGGAGGAAAAGTGTCTCCAGGTGAGACCCCACCCCCACCCCCCACCTCTGCCGGCCTCTCCCAACGTGGTGCCTCTGACACTGGAAATTGGGATTTGCCCATAAACTATGCCCCTCAAACCCCCCAGAAAGGTGACATGGAGCTGTGAACAATCCATTGAACCAGGAGAGAACCCCTCTGGCCTGTCTGTGGCTAGATCCTAAGGGGCCACAAGAACAGAGGGGCCGGGGTTTCCAGGCCTCAGGTCGAATCCAAACTGGGTCTAGATTCTGGAAGATATCTGAGGGAGGGGCTGGAGGAAGGTTCTCCCTGCGGCTGTGCTGAGAGAAGGGGTGCCCCTCGCAGGCTCCTGGGATAGGGCTTCTCACCCACGGTTGGTTGGCAGGGGGGGGGGGGCGTTGTGGAAACGTCTAGAGCTGCACAGGGCAGGCAGAGGACTCACGGGCCCCTCCTGGAGAGGTGGGAGGCCCCACCTCAGGGCCTTTGCGCATGTCGTTGCCTCTGCCTGAACATTCCTTCACCACATTTCGCCATGTCTGGCCCTCTAGCTCCTTTCAGGTTTTGATTCTGACGTCAGCTTCTCAGTGAGGCCTCCTTCCCTGGCTCCGGACTTCAATCAGGACCCCCACAGCCTCAGCCTTCCCTCCCCCTCCTCCCCTGCTCAGTGGTGGTCCCCAAGAGAACACCAGCTGCCTGAGGCAGGGATGCTTCCGGTTTGCCCTCAGCTCCATTCCCAAGGTCTACAGGAGGACGGGCCCATGAGACGCCTACTAAATACTAAAGGAATGATAAAGCACCCAGCCTGGGGGCTCCCAAGAGGCCTCTCTGCGGGGCTAAACACCACCCAGAGCCACCCCCCAGCAATCAGAACCGAGAGGCAGGAAGAGTCACAAGGCCAAGGCAGAGAAACCCGAGGCAGCATTCAGCGACCCACCAGCTGGCCTACGCGGGCCCTGAGTCCCCGACCCTCAACCCAGGGCAGCGCTGCTCCACGTGAGGCCCACACCGCTGCCCATGACGAGTGGGCACAGAAGACGCGCATCCCAGTGCACCTGCCTCGGCCACCCCGGCCCCGCACCGCAGAGCCGGGGCTTCCGTGCAGCCACACCACGTACCGGTTCGGCGCACCCTGCATACTAGCAGACCAGGTCTCCCCACAACGCGTCTGATAAGCACCGATCCAGGGCAGGAGTCCGAAACAGGGCCCAAGGCCGGGCTCGGCATCTTGGCAGCTTTCGAGCCATGAGGGCAGTAGAGCTGAGCAGTTGCTGTGACACAGACCAAACGGAGAGACCTGAAGTATCTGTGGGGAAGGCGTCCTGGCCTCTCCTCCAGCGTCAGGGCGCACAAGCGACATGGAGGAGAGTACTCATGCTACGCTGCCGCCGTGATAACAGTGTCACCAAAATCATCATCGTCGTTACTCGCTACCCGTGCGAGCTAATGCCGTGCAGGCATCACGCGAAGGCTCTGCCCACGTCAGCTACTCTGATGCTCAGAATCCTGTCGTTACCTCGATTAAACAATGGGGAAACTGAGGCACGGGGCGGTAAGGCCACTCGTCCAAAATTCTACAACTAAGGTATCACTAAGGCGGTGCAGGAACACAAGCAGTCTGGTTCCAGAACCTTCTACACAGAGGCACAGAGAGGGTAAGTAACTTGCCCAAGTCCACACAGCAGAAAGGGGTAGTGCTAGAAGTCAGATCTTGCACCTTTTGGCTCGAACACACTCATCCAGCATGAGAACTACAAGAGCTCGGGAAAGTTCAGAAGGTCCCGGGGGGCTTGGAGCAGAAGGCCACACAAAGCCTGATAAAAGGTGAGGCAGTGAAGGTATGTCGGGGCCGCCGATCCTGGAAGACCGGCAGGGAAAGACGTGGAGTCCTGGTTCTATGAGGGGAGGGAGCCCAGACCCGAGAGGTGGAGAGGGCAGAGCACAGAGACTCTCCGGGCAGACCGTGTAGAATTCCCGAGCTACACACACGCTGTCCGGAGAGGCCGCGGGCCTCCCACAGCCCAGGAGGCCAGGCCTCCGCCCGCAAGCGCCCCTGCGACCACGCCTTCCGTCTGCACGAGAACACCGCAGCGGGCAGGTGGCGGGCCAGCACAGACCGGCCAGCTCCCGCGGCCCCGAAGGACAGGGGCTCCCGTCGCCCTGCCACGAGGGAGGGCAGGAGCACCGCAAGCTCACGGCGCACGCGCTGCCCGGCCACCTTCCACGGCAGCTCAGACCCACAACCCCGCACCTCAGGCAGGAGAGCAGAGGCTGCCCCACACAGCGAGTGCGTGGGCCCCGCACCACTCAGCAGGTGGGAAGGAGCAGAGACTCAAGGCCACGTCCGAAGTCCTCCTGGGCTCCAGGGAGGACCAGCCATCCAAGCAGCCCCGGGCCCAGGGCTCACTGGAAGATGCCTCCAGGGCCAGGAGGCACTACTCCTCAAGAGAAGCCTGTGAGGAGTGTGTGTGGGAGAAGACGGAGTCCCAGGAAGGTCACAGGTCACTGGGTCCACACCCCTCCCCTTCCTCCCAGCGTCCTGCCTCAGCTACTATGCAAGGAGCCGGGACACTGGGCTCCTGGACGGGGCGTTTATCTCTATGTGCCTCGACTTCCTCTTTCTTCCACCCTCTGGTCTTCTAGACTCAGAAAAGGGGGGCACCTCACCCCGCCTGTGAAATGGGCTGATGGCAACGTGTTCGAGGGCACGGGCTGCAGGGGGCAAGGAGGGCACCCAGACTACAGAGCCAGTGCTGACCTCCCAGCAGCCGAGGGAAAACGGCTCCAGCCAGGACACAGGCCCAGGAGAGCAAGACCCCGTTCCCCCAACCCGAGGTGCCAGAATGCTTGTTTCTGCCTGTCAGGGGACAAGCAGGGCTGGGCCACCCCTGCACAAGGCAGGGACTCGGGCCCCGCTGCTGCCACTGCAAAGGACAGGAATGCCCCCACCCACAGCTGCCCCAGGGCCCCGCTCACCCCTGGCCTCAGCCTCTTGCCTGGAGCGGGTGGTGACTGCTGGGGCCTGTCCAGCCACATCCTGCGTCACCGACAGCCCCGGTGGAACGACAGGAGATGTTATGGGTCAGCCAGTGACCCCAAATGACCGGGAGAGGACCCAGATGGGGCAAAGGGCAGGAGAGAAGGCGGGAGGAGGGGGGACAGCGAGTGTGGGGGGGAGGGGGGAGGCTATAGGGACAGGAGAACTTTCCAAGGCTGTGCCGCAGGGAAGGGGAGGGAGAGGGGTGAGAATCCGGCAGGAGGGGCCCAGCAACAAGAGAGAAGCCAGAGGCAGCGGCCAGTGGCCCCCAGGAGAGGCAGCCCTCCAGGCAGCTGCAGTAACCATGACAATAACCAGGAGTAACAGCCGGCAGAGGGACACGTCCGGCAGAGCGCGGCCAGGCGCTGCCGTAAGGACTTTATACAGATGGTCACGATCGTCATGTTTAATCCCCGCGAGAATCCCAGAGATGGGGACTCCGGTCACACCATTTTACAGATAAAAAACTGAGACTCAGAACAGTTAAGTCGCTGGACCAATCTCCTCACCTCTAGAACGTTCCCAACCTACAAATAGAGAGCGTACGAGTCCCACTCTGCGATGATTCACAGCAGGGAGTAAACTGTCCTCGTAGAAGGTTCCGAACTGAACGCCTGTCCTGCAGCAAGGGCTCCGTAACCGGGAGCTCGTTTCTGTTGTTGTTGTCATTGCTGCTGGGAGTCCGCATACAGGTCATAACGCTATGGGACAACATTCGCCCCCCAGGAGCACGCTGCTCAGCCTGGGCACACAGTAGGTGCTCAACAGACAGCGGCATCCGGGACCGGGACTCAGTACCCTGAAGCTGAGGCGGGCTGCCTCCTGGCAGTGATCTCAGCTGGGCCTGTGGTTTAGTCTCCTGGCCTCAGTGGCCTCATCTGCAAAGTGGGATGCTACCGCCAGAGGCTCCTTCACTGGGCTGTACGTGAGAACCAAAGGCTCTACCCGCGGGCAAGTTCTCGTAACGGGGCTCAATAATGCGCCCATTTAGCCCAGCTGGCTCTGAAAAGCGTCCTGGTGGCCAAAATCCTCAAGAGGCCACTGTGTCTGGGACGCCCTCCCCGCTGGGCCAGTGGGTTCACACGCTCACTGATGGAAATGCCCTCCCACACCACTTCCTTTCTTCTCACGAAGAGGAACCACACAAAGCAACACACACGCATGCACGCGCGCGCGCACATGGCCCAGCAGAGCTGGACTCTGGCCCAGCCGCGGCCACAAGGCCGCACACCCCCTCATCAAGAAGGCGGTTGGTCAAACAGGGAAGCCCACGACCTCGCCCTGGCAAGAAAAAGGACGTGGTACCCTGCAGGTAACCCGTAAATGCCAACAAAGGCCCACCCTCACAGCCACGCCGCGCAGGGAGGGGCGAGGGCAGGAAACGGGGCCACGCTAGGGGACGGAGAGAGCAGGGTGCAGCGTAGGAGAGCCGGTCCAGGGCACACCGTGTGCAAGCCAGCGTGCAGACAGCACGCCTCCTTCCCCACAGGCGGGTCACCCTCGGGGGATGGGGCGGCTCTTCGGACCCCCAGATGAGGGCTTCCGACACAGAACATGTCCAGGGCCAAGGCTCAAGGAGGCAGGGGCTATCAGCAACGGCCCCCGTGGGGGTCACCCCAATAAAGCAAAAAGGGGTCCAGGAGAGGCGGGGCTGCCGGAAAAGTGTATACAGCAGGCACTCCATGTTTGTACACAAATTCCCCAGCTGACACTGAGAGGCAGAGATCGCAGTTCAGCCAGGCCCCGGATTCCATCACGCCCCACTTTAAAGTGGGAGCTAAGAGATTTTACCAGAAGTTCCAGACGCCAGACGTCCATGCCATGACACCCTGCCTCCCTCGGGGGACAGTGAGTCCTGGCAGGACCGTCAGAGCCACACCAGGCCTCACGGGGGGGGGGGGTGTTCTTGGTGAGAGAAGGCCCCGCGGGGGCGCGCACACCCCACCCCTGCCTTACCGCGTGGGGCCGGGCGATCTGCACAGGGTAGGAAAGGCCGTGGGGTGGGTAGCGGGGCTCGGTGGCCCTCCACGTCTGCGCCACAGGCTGCGTGGATCCCGACATGGCGGCGGGCGTCTGGGGGCTCTGGGGCCCCAATGCTCTCCCTCTCGAGGCGACCCGGGTTAAAAGCCAGTCCTCCTCATCTGCTCACGAGCCACCGTGTCACAGGAACCTGAGGGAAAACCGGAAAAGAAACACGATCAGGCACAGGGCAGCGTCCCCTCCAAGGACCGTGGTGGGGCCCCTAACTGGTCCTTCGGTCCCCAGGGAAAGTAAGCACACAGGCCCCCCTGACCCCTCCATGCCGCTGGGCGCCCCCCCCACCCCCGCCCGCTGCCAGCAGGAGACGGCAGCGCCCCAGGCCAGACACACCACATCCGGGAGAGCCGCGCCCCCCAGCCACATCCAAGGCCCCCTGCTCAGCAGGGACCGGGACCCCAACACTGTGGGCGCCACCCCCATTCGCCAGCCCCCAGAGCCCGCCGACCTCACCCCAAGACCCCTACAGCTCTGAGTCACCAGGGCAAAGGTCTCGGGAAGCACCCAGTCCAAGCAGGTAGCTGGGGACCCGTCTCGGGCCAAAGAAACGACTCGGGTCAAGGGTGCAGGAGGCCCTCAGTCAGAATCTGCCTTTGCCCAGAAATCTCGGGGGGTCCTCCATCCTCCCAAGCAGCCGTCCCTCCCCGGAGCATGCCTGGGCCCGCAGCGAGAGCGGGGCACGTGCAGCCCCGCCCCCACAGGCACCTCCGCCCTCACGCCTCCCCATGCACGTGCAGCCACGCCCCCTGGCACGTGCAGGCCCTCTGGCGCGGGCCGACCCCCTCCTCCCCCCACACAGGCAGCGCACCCCACGGTGGGGAAAATCCAAGATGGCGCCGAGGCCGCCGCCTGGATGCGCCGGCAAAGGTGAAGGCTGCCTCCCATGACGCCCCCCATTGCCCTGCCCTGGGCTCACTGCTGTCCTCCAAGAGGGAGGCGCCGGGGCCCTTCACGGGGGATGCGCCCTGTGGAGGTCTCCTGCTGGGACGGAGTGCTGAGATCGTGGCGGTCAGAGGAGGGACCAGATCCCCATCTGAGGCAATGGCTGCGTCCCCCTCCTAACGCGCCACCGTACACGTGACTTTCCTTTCTAGTACCATCCTTCCTCCTCCCATCCCCAGGCTCAGGGAGTAGTCATGTGGTCCAGGCCCGGCCAATCCGGTTCCTGCATCCCCTGGGCCAGGGGTTGGCTGAAGATGGACACGTGACCCAACTAAGCCAATGAGAGTCAGTCTTGAGACTTTTGCTGGAGGAAGCGGGAAAAGGCGAGCCCTGCCAGCCGCTAAGCTAGGAGACTAAAAGCGTGCGGTTCTCAGGCCCACGTCGTGGCAGGCGCCGGCCCCGCAACGACGCCAACCGGCAGGAAGACAGAGCTGAAGGGCGGAGGGAGCGCAGCGGGGCCCCGATGACGGCCATGCCTGAAGGCGGTCGAGGCCGGAGCCGGTCATGTGCTCTGCCTTCGCCAGCCCAACCTGGGCTTCTGTCACTTGCCACCAAAAGTTCTGACTCACCCGGGGAAGAAAGGAGTCACAGACCAGCGCACCTACAAGCACCTCAGGAAGCTGCCCGCGTGGGCTTTTCCCGGCCACCAAGACAGGATGTACCCTGCAATTTTTACGACCACGGGAACAAATCCTGCTCAGCTAAGAGGGGCTGCTGGTCCCACTGCCGCCAGTATCGTTCCCTGCGGCAGCTCCGGCCCAGTGACAGTGATGCTCTGACGTGGAGGCGGCGGGGGAAGGAGCTGCTCCTGCCAGCTCCTCCCAAGGGCACCTGTCCTACAGCCCAGCGACAAGAAACCGGCCTCGGGACAGGGGCAGGTGTGGCCGCTGCGGCTGGACCCCGGTCCAGAATCCCATTGCTCCGGTCCGTCTCAGAGCCCAGCAGCTCCTGGGCCTGCGATGCAGCAACGCAAATCCTGTTCCTTTCTGCTCTCTCTCTCTCTCTCCGGGCTCCCAACAGTCGCCCCCTCTCTCCAAGGAGATGAGGCCAGCACTCCGGAGCGCCGGATGCTTACACTGGGGGCCCCTCCTCCAAGCGCCGTGGGGGGACTTCCAATCGCTGTTTGATTTTGCGTCACAGAAGGCAGCCGAGAAGTCTGATTTACCGACAGCTTTTCTAACTTCCTTTGCCTAACCAAACGCCGACTGGAGGTGGCAGGCCTCTGCCGGCTGCTCACGCGAGCCGTGCACGGGGCTCCAGAAGCCAGGGAGGGGACACCTTTCCCAACCAGCCCTGGAGAATCCTCGGCGGCATCCCACCCTGCTCAGGCCAAGGCCACGGTCTGGCCGGCTTCCCACCCCCGCAAGACACGGTGTGCCCGCTACCAAGCTGAAGGGGCATCTGCCATCAGTGGGGTCACCCCAGCGGCTCCCTGACCCAGTGTCCTCACACGCGGGTTGTCCCCAATGCAAGGCGACTCTGGGTGCCCCCTTCATTCACCGCGAGCCTATTTAATAAACTCAATTTCCACCCCTCCCAACCCTCAGTCACATTTACTGCCAGCTCAAAGAAAACTTTTTTAGGAAAACATTTTGGCGGTTCCTCCAAAAGTTAAACACAGAATTACCAAATGACCCAGCAATTCCAGACCCGGGCACATTCCCAAAAGAACTGAAAACAGGGACTCAAACAAATATATGTATACAATCGTTCAGAGCAGCACTATTCACAACAGCCTAAAGGTGGAAACTGCCCCAGAGAATAAACAAACCAGTCCGTCCGCACAGCGGAACGGGATTTAGTCACAAAAAGAAATGAACCACTGACACAGGGCTACACCGCGGGTGAACGGTGAAAACATCATGCTAAGTGAAAGGAGGCGGTCACAAAAGGCCAGATAGTGGAGGAGTCCACTTACAGGAAGTATCTGGAATAGGCGAACCTATAGGGACACACAAAACAGACTGGTGGCCGCTGGGACTGAGGGCGTGGGCAGCGACTGCTAAGGGGTGCCCAGGCTCACCCCACAGTGATGGAAATGTGTTAAAATTAGATAAAGGTAGTATTTGCATAACACTGAAGGGAAAAACAAATTGAAGCGCTGACATCATCAAGGTTTGAATGTGAATGACAAGAAAAAAAGAAAAAAAAACCCGAGGACCCACCTCCGTGAAAGACAGAGGTAAGGGAGGGGGAGGGAGACCCAGGGGATGGCAGGAGGGTGTCCTGGATCTGGGCTGGCTGGGAGGCGTTCTGAAAACAGATCCAGACCGGATCCAGACCAGATCCAGACTGCAGCAGGTATCCGACATGGCGGCCCCAAAAACCACTGCCTATCTGGCGGCTTTAGGATCAAGAGAAGGTAGTGGGCGGGGCGCCCGGGTGGCTTAGTCGGTTAAGCGTCTGACTTCGGCTCAGGTCATGATCTCATGATTCGTGGGTTCGAGCCCCGCATTGGGCTCTGTGCTGACAGCCAGCTCAGAGCCTGGAGACTGTTTCGGATTCTGTGTCTCCCTCTCTCTCTGGCCCTCCCCTGCTCACACTGTCTCCCTCTCTCTCCGAAATAAATTTAAAAATTTTATTAAAAAAAAAAAAAGAGAGAGAGGGAAGGTAGTGGGCATCCATATATTTACAGAATTTTGGGGTGCCTGCTTCGGGTGGAGCCCCAAATGAGCGAATGAGGCAGAGCCCCGCTGCTGAGGGTCTCGGTGCCCCAATGGGGGGCAGGGGGGAGCAGGGTGCCACAGGGAGCAGACAACCAGCAAACAGCGACCTCAAAGAAGGAAGCCCAGTCTACCCCAGCCTTGGGGAGGGTGAGGGGATATTGGGAAGAACTTCGGGGAGCGGATCGGGCACAAGACAGCCAGGGGGAGTCAGGTGGAGGTCGCCACTGGAACAGGAGCCCGAGAGGACACCAGGTGCCACGTGCTTAGTGACTGAGTGGGCACAAGGCAGGCGGGGAGGACAGTCGTGCGAAGCCCACGGGCCATGGCCAGGATGGATTCTGTCCTAAGGGCTCCGAGGAGCCACGGGCGGGGGCTGGGGAAATAAAGAGTCCGTGGGCTTTACAGGCAGGCGCTGCAGAGAACCAGGACACCTCGGGGCTCCTGCGGCCATCCAAGCAAAAGCCGATGCTGGCGGGACCCGAGCAGCAGGCACAGGGCAGGGGAGTCGGAAAGGAGCTCACCCTGGGGTGGGAGGGGCCAAGTGGCCTCCCGGGGACAGGGACAGGGACCCTTCGTCCCCTTGTCAGGCAGGATGCCTCACACCTCTGAGCCTCAGTTTCCTTGGGGACGTGTCCAGAATTCCTGCTCCCCTAGCCTGCTGGGAGGAAGGCATGCTTGCAAAGCGATGCCACCAGGCCTGGTAAACAGCAGGTGCTCAATGAGGCAGACTCAGCAAGGGCAGGGCTCCGAGAAGAGACAGCACTCTGAGGTTAAGACTTTGCTGACCCAGGTGGCAAGGGACGCTTCCAAGCCCCGGACCCGCCTTGCACATCCAAGCCACGAACTACGACACCAGGGCCGCCAAGCCAGGCAGAGGAGGGCCAGGAACCCCAGGGGGCTGGCCGCGGCAGGGGGGCTAAGCACAGTCCCGCACGGGGGCCCCACCCTGGGGGACCACTCAAGGTCGGCACAGGGGCCCCGGGGCGGGGGGGGCCCTCTACCGCTCCCGCCCTAGAGGTAGCACGGAGGGCCCCTCGTGTGGCAGCGCCCCACAGTCCCGACCTCACACCCACGTGCCGCCCACCGCGTGGCTCTGGTGAGGCGTCCAAACCTGCAGGAGGAGGAACCCCCCCCATCCCAGCAGCCTGTCGGTGCGCCAGGCACACAGCAGGTGCTCCTCAAGGGAACCCGTGCGGGCAAGTGCCAGCAACACCAGGTGAGGCCAGAACCTCCTGCCCCCACATTCCTCTCCTGCCCCAGGCAGGACGCTGAGGCCCCACCGAGGCACATTCCATAGATTTCCCGAGCCGTGCGTGCCACGCGTCCGCTCCGGACAGGACGGGGTTCCAGCAGGCCGGCGCTGGGATGTGTCTGAGAGGCGGCGGGGGACGCGGGGGTGCTCCTTCAGGGGCCCGGGAGCCTTCAGACCGGACCCCAGCTCTGGGGAAGGTGAAAGCCCAGCTGTCTGCGCCACACATGCCCAAAACTCTCCCGTAACTACGGGGCACCGACCTCGGAGCTTGCG